TTATTCACTACGTCACCGAGCTACTTTTTTCATTATAAATAAGTATAACTAATTTGTTTTATATTATTTTAATATACACATTTAAATAAGCTAACTTTATTATAAAGTAAGCTTATTTAAATGTAGATATTTAATGGTTCTCAAAATTTGTAACATCTTTCACGCAAAAACTAGTGAACGGATTTTGATGATATTTCCTTTATGGATTATTCTAAGCCTGAATTAATTTATAGACAAAACATTTAAGCATTATAGATAGTAAAAAGGTATTATAGCTAAAACATTTTGAAGTTTCTAGTTTATTTTAGCAAACGGAACAATATTATAATAATTTATTCATAAACTACATTGTGCCGAATTTGGTCAGTATTATGTCGTATTTAAGGTAATGTTAGCATTTAATATAGCTTATTCAAAAATGAAATACATAATAAAAACAAATATTATTAAAGAAACTATTTAATTTTTTTTTGTATACATCAACATTTAGTCTGTAAGTATTTTTAGTACTAGGTCGACCTGTTTATCAGACAAGTAGAGCTAACATAGTTTTGTTATATAATTACTACTTAATCAGCAAGCATTATATATTAAAAATGAAACAAATGAATAATAATAGGAATATGAAAAAGACTGTAACACAATTAAAAGCTTCTCTGTGTCCTCATATGACATTTTGCAAGGTTTCTTTAATTATTTAAATTACAATTTTTAAAATTTTATGAGTAAATGTGCGCTACAGCGTTTAATCTATTGTATAATAAACTCTTAGGAAGGTATAGAATTTAGTTGTAAGATCGTATTTCACTTTATTTTTTGAGTGCAAACTTTATCCTTTCGTCTTTTGTTAGTAATTTCAGTGTTATAAGGATTAGCAGCGTGTTGTTTTAGTACAATACTTATAAGAAATAACTGCTGAACTGTCATTTTAATTTTTGGACATGCACACTGGTTACCATCAAAATCAATATATCAAAATAAAAATTATTTATTCAGTCTAGGCTGTTAGAAGCACTTGTGAAAGTCGAGAGCTACGCCATAAAATCGTGCGGAACTCTACAATAATGCGCACATAATCTTGAATTTTTACAGGTTACATTGAATTGCGTTTAGAAGCCTTAGTATAATGAGTTTTATTTAGATTGATTGTTAATAAGTGATTCCGAAGCCATTTATTATAGCGCGTTGAGCTAATCGGTACACTTTTCCTCTATCTTTTTCCTCTTTTCCTCTAGCCAAGAAAAGAAGGGCAGTGTCATCCGCATACGTTATAATGACACCCTGATCTAGTTTTAGATTACAGAGGTCGAGGAGAGGAATTTTAACTAAAAACAGATTTAGTCCTAAAATACTTCCCTGGAGAACTCCAAAGGAAGTACTATCCAGTTCAGAACTATTCACCCCGCCGATCTTTAAACACTGTGTACGGTCTTTAAAATATTTTTTATATAATTTCAGTTGTGTGCCTCTTATTTCTAGGTTTTCAAGCTTACACAACAGAATCGGATCAGGAACAATGTCAAAAGCTTTTCAAGGTCAAGAAATATCCTTAATGTTTGGTTTCCCTTGTCAATGTTTTGTGCTAAATACTCTGTCAAATTATGTACGGCATCAGCAGTTGATAATTTAGATCTGAAACTAAAATACGCCGAAAATTTTAGATTTTTCTTCTTAATACTTTATCAACCTTCTGTTTATGATCCTGTCAAATTTTTTGGATAAAGAAGGCAAGGTAAAAATGGGTCTATAATTTGTAACTTGTTCTTTATTGCCAGATTTATAAATCGGACAACGATTGAATTATTTTAAACATTCGGAGAAATAAACTTTACTTAGGCATTTTTGAAAGATATTTGTTAGTAAAAGTAATATGATCTTACTAGGCGAAATTTATGTCGCCTTTGAACATTTTTAGGTAAATTTGTTATCCATGCATTACATAATACCACATTTATGATTCAACAATTTCAAGAACCGTATCTCCTGAACTAAAACCGGTAATGGCGGAGAAATAGCAATAGTCTACTGAACAATAAAGCTGTGACTTATTCAACACTTAAAGTTTACCTATAGACCTTAAACTTGAAACTATAAGGTTGATTATCTAAAAGCATTCCTATAGTGGGTAACTATTAAATTTAGAGGTTTATATTGCCCATAGGAAATTAAGGAACTGAATGCATCGGAACAATGCGGCAGAATCGGAATTAAACAAAGAAGAATATCTAGAGAAGCTGTTCCGAATTGGCATTGCAGACCATTTAGCTGGAAATATTTCAGGAAACGCGTACTTTTAGACAATATTGTTTTGTGAGTAAAAAATTATAGTATTTAAAAATAAATAAAAGTTTTCCTGCGACTATGACTTCATAATTTATAGCCTATGTCTCCCGCGTATGATGTAGCTTCCCGTAGAAACTAATTATTAATAGGCTGATGATGATGATATTATAAATTTAATCAGTCTCAGTTTTAAAAGTAAGGGTAGGCATATATAAGTAGTCTCACCCTTTAAGTGCTGTGACGGCCAATAAAAAGAATTTTTACCGACGACGGTGATAAAAAAATGCTGCGTTATCACCCATTTAAACGAGTTAGGTGGATCTTTTTATTAGGGATGGCAATAAAATAGTTTTATTGTTTTTAGTTGAGTACCCGCAAATGTGGAACTTATAAATAAAGGTAACTTATAAAGGTGGCATTATGTAATAGAGTCTAACTGCGAAGTCTGTTTATACAAACTCAAAATCTACATAACAGATTTTCATTTCGTATTGGCTTTTGATATATTATTATTAAAATATAAACGACATATTACTTATACTAATTTTAATGACTTGTACTGGAATAATTTTAAAAATAAACAAGATAAAGTGTGGTGATGTTCCGCCGGGGAGGAGAGAGAAAAAATTATAAATACCGATCAAACGTGCGTGTCTGATATTTGTTTGAGTATTTGTCTATAATGTAACATTTAAGACTATATTTTGTTATTAAATTAGAAATTTGCCTCTTTTACGTGTGCATTTATTTATAATGTAACATTCAAAATTAGATTTTGATAATCGAAATAATGTTATATTTAGCGTGCGTGCACTCTTAAACCCACAATAAAACCTTCCTTTTGACGTGGAGACGTCTATGTTTTCGTTCTACAGGGGGGTCATTCTGTGAGCAGGAGTATATGCACTAACGCCATCTATTGGCGTATAAGTGAACTATGCTTGCTCTGCAGGGGGAGGGGCATTCTGTCAGCAGGAGTATATGCACTAACGCCATCTGTTGGCGCTAGTGAATACTTTTTTCATTCAACAAATTAACGCAACGAATATTTATTTATTTAGTGTTTAGTGTCTTCAATTTGTTTATTTATTTTTTTATCAATTACTCATATATCCATTGATACATAGACGTATCCACGCATAAAATATGGCTGTATCAATGATACAGCCAACCAGGGTTTTTAAGTGAGTTGAAAAGAGATGAACACAATAGTCGTTATCTTTTCGTCAAACACGCTATTAGCCCTCGGGGATTATGTTCATTTTAAAGATGTTTTGCCAATATTAGAAAAGTCAAAGCTTCTTGTCTCGTTTTCATAAAAGCGGCCTATGATCTTATTTTGTTGTAACTTTGTATTAAATGGAGAGGTTTTAACGGATTTTCCCTTTCACATAGCCATACCATGACCGTGCAATGAACGTATTGAGCACGAATAGAGGATCTGGTCTATTATGTACACTGGGTTTTCATCACATACTTGGTAAATTGGATAAGAATAGCTACCCAAGTAGCAAAATTCAGTGTAATAGAAATTTTAAGAACGGTTCAACGTATGCTGATCAGTTTTATAATAATTTTGTAAACCCCAAAAAGGCCCTAGTTTTATCACTGATTTATTCTAAAAACAACAAAAATGCTCTTTAATATTACAGAATTAAATCGCTCTGTTAAAATTAGTTAAGTACAACTAATGATTAATATAGTATGTATATATGAAAACCCTACGTCCAGCCGAGGCTGGTGATGACACTTTGGTATCCCATTTTGACATATTCGTTTTCGCATCATAATAAAAATATTTTGACATTTTTAGACTTACGTTAGAATATTTTTATATTTCAGGCTATAATTTTATTTTTGACATCATGAGTAGCCCTCGATTATGTAAAAATCTAAACCCGAATTTGAATTCACTCAGGTGTCCGGATTCACTTCAAAAACCGCCATCAGCTCATTCTTGTATTGGTAATAACGTTTCGTGATATAAGTGAAGTGAGTTTCGAAATGACATAGGAATAGAATATCTGAGACACGTATAGTCAATCAATTTGATACAAAAAAAAGAAACAATAGAATTTCTTCACTAAATGACGTGAATTAGGATGCATGAGTGACTTCGAATTCGGGTCTGGATTTTTACAGAATCGCAGGGCAGGTCTTGCAGATTCTGACTGGATATGGAAGTCAAGGGTATGTACCAGGATTTTCAGTAGGCAAGCGCCCTTTAAACCTGTACTCGTAGCATGACAAACTCGAGCCATGTTTTGTCTACCCTTAATTTATTTATTGAACTTTATTGACCAATAAAGATGGTACAAAAGACGGACTTAATGCTAATAGCATTCATTGCACTTAATGTCACTTTTTTAGGGTCGAGAGTGAGATATAGTATTGGTGCACCCGAGAAGAGTGACATTAGAGTGTAGACAAAACATTCTCGAGTTAGTCATGCTACATGCTGAGTGAACTCAGTCCACTAAGTAGGTTCGTTAGCGGAGCTGTCACACCCACCATCACAGCTAGTGATTAACACATTTTTTCTGGGTCAAAAAAGTCATGGTATCATAGTTTCACAATTATAGCAATGGACTTCCGCAAGATAACGCCTGATTCTATTACAATTTAGGTAATGTTATTTTTGCCAATGCCTTCTATTGACATACATATATTTTGTATTATATATTTAAAAATATTTTTTAAAGAAATCAATTACTTACCCGTAGAACTAACTGCACCATTGGTCTCTGAAACAATAAAATTAAAATTGTGAATATTATTTGCCGCTGCTTATTTATTAAATGTATATACAGGAAAAATTCGTGATTAGCAGTACTATTTTATTATCAAAACAATCTTGATTTCAACGTCGTAGCCAGCGCTGTCACTGCGTAGGTAGAGATCAATTAAATAAAACCTACTTGAAAAGGTTATAAAGGTTTTATTTTATCAAAGCTAGCTGCGCACATATTTTCATTTATATTCGTTGTAGTAAATTATGCTGGCGTTCTTTCTCTCTTTCTTTTAACTTGAGATAATTAAGAAAAATGTCTATAAACACATTGCTATTTATGATATACCTACTACTGTATTAAGGTTAATGATCGATTTTCGTCAATGTACATTTTTTATTGTTTATTACTATCAAAACAAACACGAAAATGTTAATAAGGTATCCCAATTTTGTATGTCTTTTCTCTCAAGAAAATTTTATAAATTCACGTTTTGGCTACGACCGAACCCTTAGAAGTATGATATAGTATTGTCATTTTAACTATAGTTTATTTGGACGTTATTTCTTTGTGATTTTGGATGTACACGCCCTCTTAAACATACAAATTTTACACAATGCATATATTATTCATTCAACTTTAGCAATAACAAACAGCAATTCGTTATCATAAATAATAATTATGATTTATATACTTAAATAATTTATATGTTGTTGGATCGTGAATTGTGGTTGTTTTTGTTAGCATGCCTTATCTCCGCGATAGGCCTTAAGTGTACGGTTCAGCAAATACGTAGCAATAACCAAAAGAACCATCAATATCTATACTAATATTATACAGTAGTAAAATTTCTAACTTTGTTTGTTTGTTTGTAGGGGGTTATCTTCGGAAATACTGATCCGATCATGAAAATTCTTTTACCTACGGGCGGCTACATTATACGCGGGTGAAATAAGCTATTCTTAATGCGGGTGAAGATGAGTGAAAACTACTTTTAAGTATTGAAAAAAATATATGTTACCTATTCCTAGTCGCACAGTCTCAGGTTTTGTATTATTGTAAAGTCCAAGGACGGTTAATTATATAAAGTTAGTTGGCCTATGCCCAGCAGTAGGCGTCTCTCGGCTGAATTGTTGATGATGATGAGTTTGCACTGCATGTCAACCAAATATTGGACGTACCTTCAGGAGCTACTTTTTTGACTCGAAAACAGGTCTCACGTGATAACAAATCACAATCTCGTTTGTAACAAAAGTAAAGTATTTTTGGAAAATGTAAAATATAAATAACGCCGTATTGTCTAGTTGCCTGACGAATACTGCTCACTTATTAATGTTTTAGCTCTTCTAGTGGGCAAAAACTGAAATAACGAGAGAGACCTCTGGCTTTGAGTGGCAACAATGCAGTAATTGTTATAGCTACTCAACCGAGGGGTTGCTAAAGCATAGAATAAACAAATGTATATGAGAAATTTCTTGAAGGCCGTTCTATAAATCTATTAAAATCTCTTTGAGGTCAACATGAAAAGTATTGGCGTTTAACTTATCTTCTTCTTCTTCTTTTTTGCCTATTTGCGTTCCGCCAATGTCACGTTTGTGATCTTTACCCGTAAAGAAACAATAATAAAATATGACAATTTTGAAATAAAAAAAGCTCTGAGCGCGTCTATCTGACTACATTGTTAAAGATAATACAACTTGATACGAACCGATATTTCCAAGACTTTAGTAAGGGAGTCCGACTCCATTTTTCATTCATTTCATTTTCATTTTACATGTAAAAATTAATTAATTTACTTGAAATTGGCAGAATTGTGCGAAATGCGCAGATAAACCATTAATTAAAAAAGAAGAAAAAGACTTTAGTAAGACAGAATTTTATTTGTTTCTTCGTCACTCTGTTCCTTTTCTCCTTTCTTTTAAAATATATTTATTTACTTAATACACTAACCCGCAGTATTTTTCTTAAATAGTATGTACAGTTTCAAATGTAATATTTTAGAAATTATAAATTGAATTAATAGTAGATTGTTATAATAATAATAATAAGGGCCTAAAATAACCAATTGTTTACTAGGAATGAATAAATTCAAATCGAATTTTATCTAATGGTTATTTAGCGCATGTGATGCATGTGTTATACACAGCTTTTCTTCTCAGTTACAAAAAGCAATTACGTTAACCGAATCAATTTCTGATTACAAAATTTTCATAAAGAATAGCACCACGGGTTTTTTATTAATGAGGTGGTGCTCTAATGGCTGGTTTAGATAAGTTGTAATCAGATTTATAACTGACCTTTAAGTAATTATGTATGTGAACACACACAAATAAGTAACAAGTAGAAAATTAAATTTCATTCTAATTAAGCTCATAAGTAGTTAACTATTTTAAACTTGCTACTTATTTGTGTTTTTAAAATTAAGTTAAAATCGACTTACTACTTATCTACTTAATACTTAATCACAAGTAAACCAGCCATAAGTAGAAATGCTGTAGCTTATTATAGTGTGGCCACATCATTAACCACAAGTTAGCTCACCACGCATTCTGCTGACTCGTCAAGATCGCCATTTTTAGTTCTGTTTTGAAAAATCAAATATTCTTTTTTTATGAAAATAAAATAAAATATAAAGAGCGACCCTTTACTTTTTCATAAAAAAATATTCATAAGTATTTAACTAATGTTTAAAGTCGTTTTTGTAGGATCGTTAATAAAATATATATATTTTCGCCTAGACCAAGAATGTCATTTTACTGTCTCTTAGGATGCTATGACGGACGTTTTGACGAATTATTATTTATAGAATAGGTAGGTACGTTAGTTATTGTATTGATTTATGCGTCGCTTTTACGGCCATATTTGTTTTCAATCGATTTTTGTGTTTATAATAATCGATACGGAACATTGTTTAGATTCGTTTCTTCTCGCATGTTCCGAGTTTACGTTTTGTTGGAATTGTTTTTTCAAAACATGCACGTACGACTATAGAAGCGATAAAATATTGTTTTATTTTCTTTTTAATTAAAAATGTCTCCGGCGTTTCTGCGTCTGGCTGTTATCCAAAATGTTACTTTTACAATTATTTTGGAATGTATGCAAATTAAAATGAAACAAAGTAATTTTTATTTCACAAATACAGCAGACAATATTTGTATTATATAACTAATTAAACATTGTAGCGGTGTGTCATATAACATCCATAGCGTTGATTTTGTTACTAGATTATTTTCATTTAAATTTTTATGCCTTTTATGCATTTTCTTTGTTACGAAAATTGATTTTTCGATGTAAACAGTCATAACAATAGTAACTAAGTATAAATATTTATATTATGAACAACAATTTCTATAAAGTGAAATCAATAAGTGTATTCTTACTAATAGTTTATGCCGATCGTGTAATATTCTGTATTCAAAAACCCCCAGGAAAGGTTTTTTTTATCATAACTATTCAAAATTAAACATTCTAGCTTATTGCTATAATAATTCATAACCATGAATACCCTACTCCATGAATATCGTTAATTTTCCAATATCAAAAGAAAAAAGTTTCTAAACTGTTATCCTTAAGAGAAAAACTGTGTTATATATAAATTTTTCGCATTTAGTGATAAGGCCATCAATGATACGTCTCCTGTTTACACTGTAAGTTTTTTGTGTGTACTTACTATTGTTATAATATAAAAGGAATTAAAAGACTAAAATAATATATGGAATTTGTTTTTAGCCCCGTGAATTAAGGTAAATATTGCCGAGGTCGCCGATTTTAATTCCATTTTCAAAGTCTTCTTATCAAAGAGTTGAATAAAGACTTCTCTGTAGGGTGATAGACACAAAATAAAAATAATAAACCAGGAAGATATAATGGTATTTTAGCTTAGCCTTAGTAGAATTTTGAGTAAGAGAAATGAAATGAATATTCTATCTATAAGCTTCAAAGAAACTTACAGGGTACCGAATTTCACTGTCGTTTCTTCATATGTATTATTATAATAAAAATACCCGATGAGCTCGATGATACAGTGGTAAGCGCGTTAGGTCTACGATACGCAGGTTGAACAACTTTTGCAATGGCTAAACATAAGATGGGTGACCAAAATTTTATTTTATCATTTTAAGCCGTTGGTCCACTGCATCTACAGTCGTTATCACTTATCTCCACTAGACCTGCGTGGTGGGTTATATCTGTACTCCTATCTGACTTAATTTAAAGGAAAGGATCTGTGCCCAGTAGTGGGGATACTAATAGGCAAATGATGATGATGATGTTATTTAGGCAATTATAGACGTGATTCGAATTGACAAGACTTTAAATGACTATAAAATTGTTAGAAAAACATTTTTGCCAATTGCATTTAGTATGAAGTTGAAAGAATACAAATATATACCATACCTACGTACATGATTACATGATAATAATAAAGCATGAATATATTATAATATTAAATTATAAGTGAGAAAAACATCCCGTCCCAACCCTCCAACATTTACGATACCAAAATATGTTTTTCTTGATAAAATAAAAAAACGCATAGTCACCGAACGATATTGCTAGATCATCAGCGTCTTTCAACGTAAAATAATTTGTCTTTATTGGAACATTTGCGTTAAATCCTTACAAAGGGTATTTTGATAGAAGAGCTATTTTATTAGGAATAAGGCCCATTACTCTTATTAATTAATATGCTTAATCAGAAGACAAAAATCTATTGTTTTGGAAAAATATATATAATATATTTGGAGTTTGTACGAAACAAGCAGACTTAAACTCGAAAATACATATTAATGTATACATAATTTGATAATTAACTTTCTTATCTTATTTTTGTCAAAACAAGAAGTCGTAGATAGCGTGTTTCTAAAATGCGAAAGTTCAGCAACTTTCTCAAGAGCCTATATTTGATTATCTCTAGGTGGTCTTTACTTTGGTAGGCACATTAAGAAATTGGTCCCGGGTGTATATGCTAACGTCCACCAATCTACACATGGCTGCGGTCTCCCTTTTGGATTCCATCCATAGGGAAGACCAACATGATGATAATCTTCTTTTAAAAAACTTATAATTCGTGATTATTTTATAATGTTTATGTTAGATTAGTATCAAGATTGACAGGTTGAACTCATTCATTCGGTTTACTTTTTTACTTTAATTTTAGTTATCTTATTACTATAATTTAGATTTATGGACAGTTTTAAAATCACATTTAAAGTCACATGAAATCCCAAGAAATTTTATAGAATAGAATAATTATATTTGATCAATTTTGCATTCACAATGCTATACTGAAAAATATTCTTAATGGAAAATGCTTGAAAAATCCACTTTGTTTCGTGCTCTCTGAGATGGGACTCGAACCCATGACCTTACGCAATCCGGGCGACTGCTCTAACCACTGAGCTACCCAGGACCTTACAGGACTGACGAATTTTTCAAGCACTTGGTACTTTTTCGTTACTACATATAGAGTAGATCATATTTTTATCGATGTTCAGGCAAGCCACCCAAACAGCAGAAAGAAATATTTTTACAAAAATTGAAATTTTCGATAAAGATGAAATTTTATTCTAATTATTATATTTTAACAATTTTGCATTCACAATGCTACACAGAAAAATATTATTATTTAACTATGGAAAAGAATAAATAAAAAAAATCTGTAACCAACTCACCCTTTCATTTATATATGCAACATCCTTTTCGTCCCGTTGGAGACACATCCAGGAATCACAAAGTGTCCTAGTTTATTTAAACACCGCACTTCATAAATCTAACTTTTAAAACAATAGTGATCCCACAATAGCGCCTTGCGGCACGCTGTCGCAACGCTCTTGAAATGACTGAAGCTACAACTCGAATTGTTTTCAATACAATCTGTAACAGAAGAAAAAACAATAATAAAGTGAACTGTGTGGCTGCTTGTTGTGTTTATAGAGGGTTCCTTCTAAAGTTATATTGTCTAAAGCTTGTGCGTAACCTTTTTCAATTATTCATCACAATATATCATTTATATTTCTAATCAGTGACCACAGACTGTAAGTTTTAATAAAATTGGTGTCAATCTTAATTTCTTATAAAATATCGTCATATTTCTCATGTTTTCAATACATATTTAAACGTATATACAAGATACAATTTAAGATAGATCAAAGAAATAAAAAATAAAAAAATAATTTTGGAGCTGAAAAGTTATGTTTGTAATTAGATACTTAAATATTTACAAGTAGTAAGCTCCTTGGTCACATTTTTTCCGATATCTCTAAAAATCATCATATTACTTTACCCCTTTATATAACATATACACCAAAAATGATTACCTTTCAATTAGTTTGAACCAAAAAAACATAATAAGCTGTTAATAAAAATAATAAAATTATATCATATTTCTAGATTTCCTCACACTCAAAACGTGAATTTATGTAATTTCTCGGTAGAAAAATTACAAAGTTACACTAAAATTCACAATATACACATTTTTCCGGAAAACAGATAACAAGTAATTATTTAAAAATAGTAATTATTATCAGCTGTCCAAATACTTCTATTGTCATGATGAAACAGATAGAAACTGTCCTTTATCTTTAATAATATTATAGACCTACAGAACCTTTTTATAATATCATTTTTCTATTTCCAACTTGCCTACGATAGACTCAAACAAAACAATTAATATTTTTTTAAATACCGCCCGACAATCTTTGTCTATGACTAATATCTTCGCACAATAATACAGGTCCAAATTTTGTAAATTTCAACCTTCAGTCTGTACAGTTATGACTTATTATAAAGCATCTTAGTTGTAGTTATAGTTGCATATGTTCGTGCAGGGACAAGTGTTCTAAAAGTAAATATTTTGTTATTAACGAAGGGCCATATAAGCATAATATTGAAGTTGTCATTATAACTAGTATTAAGTTTCATGTAACTAGTTTAAGTGTTGCAATCATAAAATATTTTAACATTTGACAGGAGAAGAAGAAGACGTGACAGTATATTTGTTTAGATAAAACATAAAATCAGAGAAGAACGTTTTGTTCAATTCATATAGTAATACCACATAATATATTTCTACATATCCATCACATCAAATATTCAGATGCCTGAGGGCTCTCCAACCACCGGAACTTAACCCCGATAGGAGCAATGTCGAACTTGGTTGACCTACCTGAGAAAACCTGCTGTGGTGCACCTCACGCAGACAGATGGATCAGGTATCCTGAGATGAGGGCCCGAAACCAATCCACGTTTTGGACTGCGGGAAGGCATGAACTTTAGGACATAACATCTTTTTTCTCAGACCGTCAACTAATATATTCACTACGCTTGACCATCGTTTCGTATATATATATATCAGATTTAAAGCATGGTATAAACTCGGCTCCATAGCACAGTGATTGGGAAGAACCATTTGTCAATGGTAATTAAAAGCAGTTTGAACCGGCAGGAATATCAGTATCTAGCGTATTGGATTACATCCTATTCTCCATAAATAAAAGCCTACCTAGGTATGTATGTATGTTCTATCAGTAGAGACACTATGACTGTGGGCAACGAACCTTCTTTGATATCTATTTTTAAATTATATTTTTTAAGAAAGATTTTATTTAATCTTTTTTAAACTATCTTTATTGTTTGTCTCTACATTGCTTGATTACATGAATATGACTATTAATTCGGGCCTTAATAATGACACTGTTTATAATTGAATCATTAATATTACATATTTGTTATTAATAGTTGATTTATAATGTCTACTCTATTTTATTTACAATAATAATTACAGTTTGTAGTAACCTTAATATTGTTTGTAGAGATCTACAATTTAATTCGAAAAAATAAGTTTAACGAAAAAATATGGATTTCGACATAATTTGCTACAATGACGAAATCCAAAGTCATAATTAATAAAATGTAGAGTTCACTTGTACTAATTATTAAGGAATAGGTATAATGCAAAATTTGTTATCGCTATTCCATTGAACCACAAACTTTGCGATTGACAATATAAACAAAAAACAGGTCATCTTATCAGTAATTCATACGTGATCAACTTTTAATTTATTAGTATTGTAATAATAAAAATATCATCTATTTGAATACTATAACACGCGATAAAAGTATTCTTACTAAAATAATTATAATGACATCTATTGTGTAACAGTTGAACTAACTAATACACGATGAGTTAGCGCGCCATCTAGCCAAGGTAACCTGTAGCGGTGTTTTTTCATGTCGTGTCACGCCTGTTGCATACAAGCAACGAATTGTTTACAGAGCACAAAAGACCCTTGTTTGTTTTTCGCTAGACGTTTCCTGGTTTGTTTTGTGTGTACGTATGTGTGTGTGTGTGTGTGTTTTAACAGCCGGCTGTGTATAGAGGACGGTACACAAAATGTTGTTGTTTGCACGGACCGAAGTAATAAATTCTGTCTGTATCGACGAAGATACTTTAATGTAGTAATTGAAATGATGGGGCGAGATGCTAAATCGATTTTGCGTGTGCTTTCAAGGACACCTAGATAAAAATCCAGTTAGGTACATTGGTGTCAATTCTGTCGTTTCACTCTCTAAATTAAATAGTTTATTTTAATTTCCGTAATTAAAATAAATGTAGGTAATCAAATTAATATATTTATACTATAATAAATATAAGTAAGTTCTGTTATCTTAGTTATTTCAAGAATTTAAAACGCAGTTTTATAGGATTAGAACCAAAATCCAGTTTGTGCAACAGAATCTCCATCACTATTAACTGTGGTTAGACGAAATTTTTGGTTTCAATAAAATAGTTAACTACAGATAAAATATTTACCGAATAAGTAGATTTGATTTTGTGTTTTTTACATTCACGAAGAAACAACAAGCACAAAACATTATTTTTATCTACGTGGTTGAATTGATCGCAAAACAGTTTCAAGAAGTTCAATACCCAGCCCGGTCAATAATAGAAAATATAAACAATATTTTGTCGAGATTTTGATAGCATACTTTTAGCTAGGGAAATTATTTTAATTTATTAATTTTGAATAAAAATGTAAGTCTTTTGTCTTTTAGAGAAATAATGAAATGTCTTCTTTGTAAATTCACTATGGCTATTTTATGAATCATATATTTATGAAGTAACGTTAGCAAGCAAGTTTTAGCCCATAACAGTCAGTTTATTTCACTATTTATAATATGCTGTTTTAGCTTTCCGTAGATGAAAGAATTTTTTAAATCGATCCACTCTGAAGATCTACCATCAATCTCAATGTGCTCTGTCCTTCTCTATGACTTTAAAAATACTAAGCGCAGAACAGTCCACTTTAAACAAACTCAAAATTAGATTTTAAGGGTACAGGGCCTCAATGCTGTAATATCGTATCTCTACAAATTACATTTGGCATTCTACGATGTTAATGAAGTCCAGTTTTATTAATGCAATGTCTTCCTTACAAATCAATGGTGACAGATATATTTTATAATATGATCTAGTAACAGGAACTGTGTCGGAAAGGTTGAAATGAAGCGCTATTGACTTTCCATAATTACGCTAACATTAGCAGAATTGCCTACCCACCTAGTTACCTACAAGGCTTAAATTAAAAGTTATAATTGGGATGATGACTAATTACTGACTGTTTATCTGTCAGATAGATTAATGAAGAATTTTAAATATGTATTTCATTATTTTTTGCGTAATCTATAAATTATGGCTATACATAGAGTTGAAATGTCGCTGGACGTCACGCCTTGTACATTCTCTATATAGTTGTGATGTAGCAAACCTCGACTTCAATGACTATTCTTGTCAAAGCCATTTCTTGTCAAATTGAAACAATAAAAAAAAAACACTTATCTAATATTTTTTTTAATATCTTATTTAATATATTAAAAAGATTTTGTTACCCAGGCATCATGTCTATTGTTTGTACATACAACAATACGTCAGGTTACAACAAAACACCTAATTTCCGCAGCGATTTTCAGTTCTAACATCGATGTGTTAAGGTTTAAAATTAGGTAGAGTTTGATAGTTTTGTATAACCTAACGTGCTATTGTAGTTCAAAAACTTCAGAATGCGGATGTAACACTAGAGATCTAATATTTGCAAAGAAATGTTTACACAGAACAAAAATATTCCTTTCAGTAAACAAAACATAACTGTATGGACACTAATAAAAACTATTTTATTTTATCGGTAAACAGGTCAATAAAATTATAGTTTATTTTTTATCGAGAATACATTTTTTATCGGTAGCTATACATGTTCAGTGAATAGGTTACAACTTGTTTACTGTAAACTAGCCGTAGCCGTACTGTAACTAGTGTAATCCAGCGGCTTTTTCTATGTCACCCGGCCATAATGTAGTTTCCCATGGGCGAAAGTAAAAAATCGGTCCAGTAGCTTCGGAGCCTATTCAATAAAAACAAACAAAATTATACTATAAGTATTTTTATTACCCACTTCACTACTCATTCCTTAAATAGGAAAGGCCTGCACCCCAGTAATAAGGACATTAATAGGCTTATGATGACTATAATTATGACAAATTAACGAAATAAAATATCTACACAAGTATTTCTTCTATATTCGCTCTTCTAATACTATCGCTTTTATAAACCACTTACTAAATTCTACAGGCATTCATTCACATCACAGGCCATCGAATCTGGAACTCGTTTCCTGAGTCAATACGACAAGAAATATCCTTCGGTTTTTTCAAATTATTACTGTTTTTCAAACTGTCCTAATAAATTTACAAATGAGAACGTCTGTGAGGATGTATGCATGTTTATAACTTCACGCAAAAACTACTGAAAGGATTTTGATGAAATTGGTATATGGATATATTACTATATGTTAATTCACGCTATATTTTGCCGCTGGCGG